ATTGGCAGATAGCATGAAGAGGTTCTCTTACCTGCTCGGCCAGACCGAATTGTTTCAGCACTTTATCGACATTAAGAAGGAGAGAGATCCAGAGTTCAGAGCTCTGCTGGAGGAGAGTCAAGCAAAGAGAGGTGCCAAAGCCAAGAAGGCTGATGGTGGGAGTGGCGGTGCGAGGCGCAGAAAGACGGAGAAGGAAGAGGACGCGGAACTCCTTGGTGAGGATGACGACGAAGGGGAGGATACTTTCGTCTTTGAAGAGTCTCCCACGTACGTCAAGGGCGGAACAATGCGTGATTATCAAGTACAAGGTCTCAATTGGATGATGTGAGTCGATCGCCTTTGCGTGCTTCGTCCGCCCCCAACCTTGCGATTCGAGCTCACGCAGGTTCTCCGTTTCGTCCATCGCACAGTTCGCTGTATCAGAATGGTATCAACGGCATCCTCGCCGATGAAATGGGCCTCGGCAAGACCCTGCAGACCATCTCGTTCCTTGGCTTCTTGAAGCACCATCGCGACACCCCGGGTTTCCACTTGGTCGTCGTTCCAAAGAGCACGCTGGACAATTGGAGAAGAGAATTCGAAAAGTGGGTGCCAGGCTTCAGAGTCGTTGTTCTGCAAGGACCCCAAGAGGAACGGGTGAGTCGTAGCGTCTTGCGTCTTGCGCTTTGCCTGGCTCCTGCGCTCACACCTTCTCGCAAACTACCAGAACGCGATGATACAGCAATACTTGCTGCCTCAAGAGTTCGACATCTTGCTTACCACCTACGAAATGTGTCTGCGCGAGAAGTCGGCGCTCAAGAAGCTGTCGTGGGAGTACATCATCATCGACGAAGCTCACAGAATCAAGAACGCTGATTCGCTGCTGAGTCAGATCGTCCGAGCTTTCAATAGTCGATCTCGTCTCTTGATCACAGGAACGCCACTGCAGAACAACTTGATGGAGCTCTGGTCTCTACTCAATTTCCTGCTGCCTGACGTCTTCTCCAACTCTGAGGACTTCGAATCTTGGTTTAAGGACAAGGGAGACGAAGCTCAAGATCAGGTCGTGCAGCAGTTGCACAAGGTGTTGCGACCATTCTTGCTCCGCAGAGTCAAGGCGGATGTAGAGAAGAGCTTGTTGCCGAAGAAGGAAATCAACATCTTTGTCGGCCTGACCGACATGCAGAGAAAGTGGTACAAGTCGATCCTTGAGAAGGACATTGATGCTGTCAATGGAGCTGGGGGCAAGAAGGAAGGCAAGACGAGACTGCTCAACATCGTCATGCAGCTCCGGAAATGCTGCAACCACCCTTACCTGTTTGACGGAGCGGAGCCTGGTCCGCCATTCACTACCGACGAGCATCTCGTCTTCAACTCGGGCAAGATGGTCATTCTGGACAAGTTGCTCAAGTCGATGAAGGAAAAGGGAAGCCGTGTCCTGATCTTCAGTCAGATGAGCCGAGTTCTCGACATTTTGGAGGACTACTGCTTGTTCCGCGAGTACAGTGAGTGTCGCAAATGATCGGTTTGCGCGTTGAAAGCTTGGCTAAAAAGGTGAACACGCACGACAGAATACTGTCGTATCGATGGTCAATCAGCGCACGAAGATCGCATCTCTGCGATCGATGAGTACAACAAGGAGGGCAGCGAAAAGTTCGTCTTCCTGCTCACCACTCGCGCAGGTGGTCTGGGCATCAATCTGACTACTGCAGACATTGTGGTGCTGTTCGACTCGGACTGGAATCCTCAAGCTGACCTGCAAGCTATGGACCGAGCCCATCGGATTGGCCAGACCAAGCAAGTGTACGTCTTCCGGTTTGTTACAGATCAATCAGTGGAAGAGCGTATCCTGGATCGTGCAGCACAAAAGCTTCGTCTGGATCAGTTGGTCATCCAGCAAGGTCGATCGCAAGCCGCTGCCAAGGCCCAGCAGAACAAGGAAGATCTGGTGGACATGATTCAGCACGGTGCGGAAAAGATCATCAACACTTCCAACGATCTGATGATTGACGAGGACATCGACGCGATCATCAGCAAGGGAGAGTCGAGAACAAGCAAGCTGCTCGAAAAATATCAAGGTCTCAACATCGACGATCTGAACAACTTTAGAAGCGAGACGGCACTAGAGTGGGAGGGTCAAGACTTCAGTGCCAAGGGTAGGCAAGGAAAGATTGGCGGCATTTGGATAGAGCCCAGCAAGAGACAGAGGAAGGAGAATTATCATGTGGACTCGTACTACAAGGATGCTCTCAGTCTCAAGTCCAAGCCCAGTGCACCTCGGGCACCCAGAGCCCCCAAGCAGATTGCTTTGTGAGTGTCAGAGACGTACTCTGCAGGTTTGCGTCTCGCTGATCTAGCTAGGTATTCTACAAACTACAGAAACGACTGGCAATTCTTTCCTAAACGCTTCGCTGAGCTGCAAGAGCGTGAGACTGCCGCCTTCCAGCGAAGTCAGGGCTACAAAGTGCCTCTGAGAGAAACAAAGGAGGATGAGGATCCAGAAGTGGCGGAAGAGGAGCGAGCTAAGGGTCAGCAATTTGTCGACGAAGGTCAGTCTTCGCGTCGAAAGTCTTTTCCGACTGCTCTGGGACGCTGACCACCGGCTTGTTTGGATTTTGCGCACAGCCGAGGAGCTGACCGAAGCTGAACAAGCCGAGAAGGAGAAGTTGGCTGAGCAAGGCTTCACGCACTGGACGAAGCGTGATTACCTGGCCTTTATCAAGGGCAACGAGAGGCACGGTCGACGCTCGTATGCCCAGATTGCCGAGGAGATTAACAATCCGGATCTGACAGAGAAGGAGGTCAAAGCGTACGCAAATGTCTTTTGGAACAGAGTGCACGAGCTGACGGACGCCGAGAGGTATATCAAGCGCATAGAGGATGGTGAAGCGAGAACTGCCAAGATCGAGCGAAACGAAGCCAACTTGAACAAATTTATTCATCAGTTCAGAGCGCCGCTGAGCCAGATGAAGATCAACTACACTGGCTCTACAAAGAAGGCTTATTCGGAGGAGGAAGACAGGTTCATCCTTGTCAGCCTTTCCAAGCATGGGCTCAGAGGCGACGAGACTTGGGAGAAAATCAAGGCGGATATCAGCGAGCACCCCGGCTTCCGGTGAGTCTGAGCAGCGGCGCGTCATTTTCATGAGAGGCGGTCGAGCTGACTCTTTGCTGCGCATCTTCTTACAAGCTTCGACTGGTTCGTCAAGTCAAGGACACCTATCGAGTTGTCTAGACGTGCAACCACTCTCATGACGCTCGTTTTGAAAGATGCAAGTGTCCCTTGATCAC